TTTATGTTAGTTACCTCATAGAAACTACAAATAATGTTGTGAACCATTACATAAGTACATAATTGATAATTGTATTTTATTAATGTCATCGTTTTATTTCTCATAAAGGTTTATACTAGCCATATTTTATACAGTATAAAACTCAAAGTAAATATAATATTATTATATCTAACTTATATAATTTTCAATATATACACTTATAGAGTACCAATGGCGTCATATGTCAAAAATTTCTATTTTTTTGTGATATTCTGTAATTCTATATTGATAAAATAAATATTTTTACATTCTTTTTATTATTTTATTTTTGCATGGTTGTGTATATCTTTAAACTTTTAAATTGAAGTTGCTATAACTTTTCTAACTTTTGGTTTTCCAATTTATATACGGTTTTTTTAATCATTCATCTTTTTAATTATTTTAATTAACATTTTTATTCTGTATGTATTTGTTTCTTTTATGGCCTATGTAATGTTTATATTTCATCTTAAATTTTTTTTTTTAATTAGTATGGATAGTATTAGAAATTTTACTTTTTATTATTTGATTAGTAACTTGACAACTATTTTCTATTTTAAATCTTACTTTTATTAATTAATTTTAATTTTATGTTGGTTTATGGTCGGTTTGCGCCCATGATTTGGCTGCATACCGAACCGGTTTAATTGAAAGTAGTTATTCTCAAGAGACACACTCGCAATTCGTGTCTCTTCATTGCAATTATGTCTCTCTATCACTCCTCTTCGTTTATCTATAAAAGGATGATTGCATAGAGACACAAACACACACTTGTGTCCATTGACATAAAGAGAAAACTCTAGAGAAAGAAAAAGGTTTACAGAGAGAAAACTTCGAGAGATCAACCGAAAGGGTACTTGAACGGTGGTTTGTGGTTGATTTTCGTCTGTGATTTCAACCCCGATCCCTACGTCGATTTCCAGTCGAATCCGTGCCAAGTTCTTCATCAAACCGGCCAAGGTATGTGTTCTGGTTTAACGCTTCTGCATATAAGATTAACATTGGTATCATCTTATCAATATTAGATACATGTCGTGATCTCGTGAGTTATAATATGCTTATATAATAATGCATTGCAGTAAATACTTTTAATTTTAAAATTTATAACGCCTATAATTTGACAAATGTAATTAGATTCTAAATTACGACTCGCACA